GTACAACTGATAGATAAGTAATCAATCATGGTCCGCATCGACAGTGCGTATGTTAGCACCATGCGTAGGCCGAATGATTTCCCCCCTTTTTCCCGTGTCTTACTTAGCTGAAATCGATACTACCCGGATTAAAGCACTCTAGTTTTAGAAAAGTCTCTAATGAGGTTGATACTGAATACATCTTTAAATGTGAAAAAATAGCCTCTGTACTAGCGCATGTCATCTAGCGTTTAGTAAATTCTTCATATACATCTTTCTATGATCTATCATTATCCTAAAGACTTTTAAATTGGCATAGCTGCTGACCCAGGCCAAAAACCTGAACGTGAGACCCCGAAAGACTTCTCCTCCCTAATGGGACAACATCCAACTCGCGGCGCCTCCACGATATCATTATCTTCCTGTACTATAGAGTCCGCCATGACCTCTACTGATGACTGTACTAGACAACCCATTTAGGAACATGCACGGCCCTCCCGAACTTGATAGATCAATGCACGAATGATTTATTAATCCCACGATGCTTAACACACACTCAACACCCGACTATGTGCTTTATAGCCAGCCCAATCACACACACACTATCATATTACCTAAACTTTCCGTAGACAGAGTCACAACTGTCCTATCGCTCTCTAGCACACTAGCATGTTCTGCTTCACCTCCTTCCGTACCAAGCCTCAAAACTGACAAGAGCCTTAGCTAGGTACAATAGCTCATTCAAGACACAAATACTCACAATTCTCAGCGTGGATGCATGTACCGATTACACATGGAACCGCAACTCTAAACACATATACAACGATTATCGTGGGACATACGATAATATCCCGGGCACATACAAGTCCATCTTAGACGATGTTCAAGCCGGTACATTTCTAGGTCCGTTCACGAAATCATAGTTAGACACCTCATCTCTGAGTGATATAACGAAAACAGTTTTTGATGGCATAGAGAAATTTAGACGTATACACAATCTATCACACCCACGCAGAGGTCCACACACAGTCATAAACGCGTATATATGATACAAACAAGTCAAATACACATATATGCGCTGGTTTATTGATGGAATCAATGCCTCTCCATCAGACACCGTGATGAGTGTTGTCGATATAGTCGGTGCTTTTCGACTCATACCGTACACCACTCAGACATTTCCCTTCTAGGTTTCGAGTGACAAAGTCTATACTACTTCGAGCTCAGTCTTCCTTTCGTAAGTCTACCTAGTTCGCCAGCTCTATACGAGAAGTTAGATGTAGCCGTCGATTGGGGACACTCAATGAACGTCAACTTCTTTTTGCTCGCTGGGTGACATTGCTTTTCTGCATCCAGCCACTAAATACGACGCACAGATTGCCACCATCATCGCGACTTCGCTTCGTTGATATACAAATTCATATGGCCGAGTCTATCGGCGGTGCCTCTAGAGCAGTCTGGATCGGTATCTATACGACTTAACCTGCGCGATTTTAGCATAATCGACGAGCGACAAAAAATAGTACGCATACCCGCTTCGGTCTTTCATCAAGCGATCAACAACAACTCAATGCGTGACGACACTGCTTCGTTTTATTGAAACCAATGAAGTGGTCAGGCACGGCTCTCATGCACAGAACAAGACAGAAATATAGATAAGAATCGTCACGGACACTTCGATTCGAGCACGCTTGGTGGATGCGGATGTAGCTCTTCCGAGCAATTGTCCTACATAGACTGCAATAACACCACTGTACTTGGGGATCAAAACTTATATCCATCAACCAATCGTCCAACTCACAAACCCACAAGCGGCATTCCATATGCGCACTTTAGTTGATGATGGTTGTCTACATGTCCGCCCTCATCGGCAACAGCATAAAGAGTCATACCATTGCCATCTTCTGCGGTAATCAATCGGCCATTGCGGACACCACATCCCGCTTCTCCAATTGAACACTACAAGTTGATGATGGTTGTTCACATGCTCGCCCTTATCGGCAATAGCATGAGGGGTCATACCACCATCACCATACTGTACCAATTTTATCCACAGTCGCGGATAATACATCACGCTCCTCCAATCGAGCACTACAGTTGACGAGTCCACATGCTCGCCCTTGTCGGCAACTGCATAAAGCGTCATACCATCACCAATTTCTGTGGCAACCAATCCGCAGTCGCGGACATTACATCATGCTCCAATATCACAGAGATTTTAAATCTCCTTTGGATCCTCACTGAAGTCGAAACAGAGTTTGATGGCGGGTTGCAATGAATACATCTCCCGGGCACAGCAAACACGGTCGTCGACACTATCTCACGCCGGGATATACCCACAGCGAGATAATTGCAACCTAACCTACTCCAAACCCCAATTCCTCTTTCGGATTTTGTACATATCTTGCTCACCCGATACGATGTAGCACGTTAAATAAAAGAAAACGCACGAGACTTTCGTGCACCCAGCTCGCCTCTTCTGTTTTTTTCCACAAATACATGCTGCACACACACAGAGGGTCATATGAGACCTTCATACACGCCAGGCGCCCTCCAACCAACGCAGCAGCACATATCATACAACGACGACATTTATAAATACTAGTTGCCCATCACCTGATGAACTCTGCAAAAGTATTCGCTGGTAAGTTATCTGATCATCCGCTCCCCTGGATTCTGTTCGCCAGCTGGATAAATACCAGAGGCCTCAAACCAACATCATCGACGTGTACATTCCCATATCAGCGCGATATACCGCAATAACGGCCTTGCTTTACCGTCCCACCGGCTTGTAGTCCAAACCAAAAAGCTATTCGCCGACGCCGCGTCGCGGAAGGAATAGGAACCTCCAACTGATTAAGGAAACCCTTATCACCGGCAATTATTCAAAAAAAATACTGCTACTTTCTGTTTACGCAACAAACATGATATTTAAACGATACGATTATATACAGCAGTACTCATCAGTATATAGGCGGTAACACGATTAGGAGAATTGACAGTTAACACCGATATCGAAACTTATTCAGAGTTAATTCGTATCCACAGAGGCAAAAGCGCGAGAGTATATGATCAGTACACCAATTTTTTTATTTTATTTCAAAGACCAGCCTGGATTGAACGACAACTATATATGTTTCCAGACTTCCCTCGAATATGGTCACCAAATGCCCATACCTCGCCCTCATCGATTGGCTGACTCGCACCTCCGACGAACTCGATTCCGCCCATCTGTCCTATCTGCATTTAAACCAGCGGCCATTCTCTTTGTACTGGCAATCTCATAGCCCTTCACGATGCAGGCATTCATGAGTAAAAAACTGTGGTCATTGAACGATGGATTTAGGAGGTGAATCGCATTTATTGGCAGCCCACAGCTATTAAAAGTTTCGCAAACAAGTAACATAATTTATCACTACGAATGACTTGCCTAATATGTCAGTTTCCTACTACCAGCTATCGCAGCTCAAACTCAATGAGCTCTCATCCGGTCAATTTACGGAGGAAACAGCCTAGGTCGAATGTTTGCCAGACAGTACCTAGAGGTGCCGTCCGCCTCGGGCTATTCCCGATCTAAAAAGGGATCACTGGCAAGAGACATCAGCAAATTCATAGAATCCCGTTTATTTAATTTCTGTTATAAGGGGTGATTTGGAGGTTGAATGAAAAGTGATCACGAGGTCAGACCCAACAACTTTCTGACACTAATTATCGGTCAAAACTCAAAATGACCGATCCGATCCGTAGGAATCAGTTCCTGCCCTGTTAGTCTGACCGAACGTTATATTTGGCACACACCTCGCTTACAGGGGAGGCTAGAACTCCACTATCAACACTCCGTCTACCGAAATACTACCATACTGTACAACGAATATATCTTAGAAAAACGGTTAAATAGATCCCTTTGATGAGCCTTGGATTATCGCCAGACAATACCCAAAGGTAAATACCGTCCGCCTCGCTCCATTCCCGATATAAAAAGGGACCAATGGCATAAGGCATAAAAATATCATACAAACTCTTTTATGGATACTTGAATACATAGCATAGTACGTACTTTTTATTACGGGATATACTCAGAATAAATATTGTACCTGAGGATATAATAATACTAAAATATACCAAAGAGTGCAGGAGAGGTGAGTCACGGTTGTTCTGATACGAGAGGTGAGACACGGGTGATAAGTATTTATTAATTTTTAATGTGAAGACAGAAGGTAGGGATAGGGACCGTGAAGTAGACTGTACACGTAGTAGTTTACTATTGGTGAACTAAGCTAGTTGTTCTGTCACATCTATTGACTAGTGTACTGACTAGTGTACTGACCAGTGTTAAAATAGCTGGCCATAAGTGCATGCCTGTTGTCTACGTACATGTACGACTCTGTCCTAATCTAAACCATCAGCGCCTTTATCAATGGTGGGTATAGGGCAGGGCCAGTCTCATTGTACAGGTCCAGGTACATTATCATTGCTGCTACATATAAGCAGCTGTCACCATATGGATAATACTATTTATTTCAAATATTTAGATAAATCAGTGCCGCCCTCGGCTGGAACAGCAAAAAAGAAACAAATACAAACTTTCCCGCGCACAACTTTCGAGATTTTGTATAGAGGAGGGCAAAAATAACTAAATTTAGATTTTCAATACACATTCGCGAGCCCAAATATTGGAGACCTGTGCAATAAAAGAAATGAGGACACTTAATTTCAGCGGTGGGCTCAAGATGTTGGGAAAAAAACAACGAAAAAGCGGTTTAATTTAAGGCGTAGGTGCAGGTCCGAAGGTGCAGAGGTGCATATGATGACATTATTACTGAGCCTTTCACGAGGAGACGGCGGGGCCCAGGCGGCCGAGCCCAGAGGTGAACAATTGCCACAGTTTTTCCGGCATTTTTTTGAAGTCTGTTGGGCCCTCCCGTCTTGTGTGTGCATAAAAAATCTGATCGCATCAGAAGATATGTGCATATATATATATCTATATATATATAAATAAATATCGCGCGTGGTGTTGTTATCGAAAGCTAAAGCATGAGTTCGGATATCACGGATGCCGGTCAAATGTAATATGATGCGGTTCACTGCTATACCGCGAAGGCCTGTTGTCCTCGTAGGTATAGCAGTTTTGTTCCTGCTATATATACTCTCACACTCGGCGACCGCACAAACCAAACCTTCACGTTGTGGCCTACCGGATCCGAATATACCTTGGGTTGCTACTCTGGATCTTGGAGAGAATATGGAGAATCTCAAAACAGATATAGGCAAGTTCAAAAGCGAGGATCTGCCACCCTGTAAAAGCCTTTTCATGATATGGACAACGGATAAGAGCACCTGGCAAGACATCAATTCCGTTTCACTCGAAAGCGTTTTCCATTACTTCCCTTGCGCACGTATAACAGTGTACGCCAACGAGCTTGCACAAGACTTTTTCGATGAATATACAAATGCCGGGTTTCATATTCGTGTAGAAAGATATAATTTGACGGAAATCACGAGGGGCAAGCCGGGTGGCAAATGGGTTACGAAAACCGCAAAACCTGAAAACCGGTCGCCCTTCCATTCTGTACATGAGAGTGACTTTCTACGTACGTTCATGCTATATTATAATGGAGGTTCATACATCGACCTAGATCACTTTATGCTTCCGCTATCGGTGGCTCTCACCCCATATAAGAATATAATCGGCGCTGAAGAGTGCGAGGCTGACAATTCAGGTAAGACCAACTTCGACTAGCCACTTTGTTTGCCTTTGTATATTCCATCATTTCGATTCCATATGCGCGGTAAACGAAGTTATGTATAACTATTATATATATATATATATATATACGCACAGACATATATATAAATATATACGCACAGACACACACAAACACACACACACACACACATATATATATATATATACTATATATATATATATATATATATATATATATATATATATATACGCATACACACATACATACACACACACACATATATATCTATAAATAGTATTGATATATATTATTATATTATTATATTATTATATATATT